TCCCAAAATTGGATTTTGGCAAATTTTCTAAGATACGGATTGTCGCTTCATCGTGGCAACATTTCCAAGGATGGATTGTTACGAAGCATTGACAACTTTCCCTAAATCATATTGTCATACATCATACAAGAGTTGTGTTGGCAACTATTCTCAAAGAAGAGAGGATTGTCATCACCCAAAAATTGTCAGCAAAGTGCAAGCGAGCTTTAAGGATCGACAGGCGTTGATCTTCGGTAATTTTCTTCTGAATATTATCGCAACAATAGAAGATCTTTCAGGCGAAGCAATCTTCGATAGTTTTCTCTAGCTTGCAGAAGACTATCACAGCGGAAATTGGAGACAGTTACAGGCGTACCAGTTGTAATACCCCGTATTTTTATACGCATTTTATTTAAAGTATGTATTTTATAAAGTATTTAAATAGTTGTAATTATTTTAATTAAAGTATTTTAACTAATATTATTATTAAAGGAAAGTTTATTTAATTATTTTATTTAAAAGTTGGGGTTTTATTTTAGGAAAGTTTAATTTTCAACAAGTTTTATTAGGGAAGGAATTAGGAAAACCTGGAAGAGGGTTAGTAGAGAAGGGGTATAAATATCCCACTTATGAGGCAAATCAAACTTTGCCCAGAGTGGAGAAAACCCAAGGTAAACTTCTCACTCTCTCTTCCTTATTTTTTTTCCTTTTTCTTTTCCCCCTTTCCCCTTAAACTTTCGGTTTCCCTCCCTCACCACCGCTGCCAGCCACCGGCAGGCTGGTGGCCGCCGCTGCCAGCAGGCAGCCGCCGCCGCCAGCAGCCGGTAGCCGGTGGTGGCTGTCGCCCTTCTTCCCCTTTCCCCTTTTTTCGAACCTTATATAAAAAAAAAATTGAAGCTTTCTTGTTTATCTATTCTTGGATCTAAATATAAATTATGAGTTTGGGGGTTTAATTTTGATGTTTGATAATTGTAATTGTATGAATTAATTTTTAAATTTGGTTTTTAATTAAAAAGCCCCAATTTTTGAAACCCTAGGTCCTTGATTTATGAAAATTATGAAAGCATATGAGGAATTAATGTTTAGATCTTCAATTTAAGTGTTTTAAGACTAAATTACAGCAAGTTTTAATTAGAAATAAAGTGCTGGAATTTTATGTAGAGCACTTAATATTATGTTTTTGAAGGAAATTTAAATTACCCATTAAGTTGGACTTAATTAGAGTGTTTTAAATATAATTTCAGCTTATTCAAATTATTTTAAGAGGGGTTTTAGGATAGTATATATCGTTGGAAATTTGTTTAGAGTGGGTTTTAATGCTCTATTATAATTTTAATGTGTAGGAGACTTCGAAGTGAGCAATTTTTACTAGTCGTGACGATTTTAAGATCGTATTCATGGTACGTTCGCGTACTTAGCATATTTTGATGATGTAGAATCATGCTAGGTTTAATTTCAATCAATTACAAGTAGTATCATGCTAAGGTTTATGTATTGAATCGTGAATTATTGGTGTTGGTGATTGAATTGTGAAGCATGAATTACTTGTGATGGTTTATGGATTGGAAAATTATACTTTGGCATGATTATATAGACTACATATTTATTTATGGCATGATAGAGAGCATGTTTAATTAAACTAATTGTTTAATTATGTTTGGAATATTGAAAGGAAATTTTATTATGGTTCATATAATTTTTATTGACGCTTTAAGCATGAGAAAGGAGCTATATAAGTGTCTATGTACACAAGGAATAAATTGTATGTTGGTGCCTTTGTGCACTTAAGGTGTTTTAACACCGAGGTATAGGATTGTTGGCGCTTTATGCGTTTAAGGTGTCTTCGACACTGAGGTAGAATTAAAAAGGGTTCAACATTAAATATTATGTGGTCACTAATTATTCAAGAATTAAATTGGTATATTTGTTTGATTGAATAATTATTGTTGATTGACTTATTATGCCTTGAGAGTCATCACCAAGTCTAATAATATGTAAATAACGTAAAGTGAAAGAGATTACACACCAAAACTCTTGGAACGTATATACCTTGAGTATGAACATATGGGGGGAGTTATGTGACTTTACATTTGATCATAACTTCTAACGGAGTAGAGGACGTTGTATATTCCTTTTTTTTATGCGCTTGAATTCCGCCACCTATGTGTGGCACAGGTTTGTTGCTAGCACGGTTAGCTCCCGTGTCAGTTAACCCCAATTTATTGGGATATGATTAGTTGGAAACCCATTCTATGCGTAATCAACGCTAAATGAATTATTTAGTGTCTAGTTAAAGTGTCTTGTTGATTGTTATGTGTGCTTGTAAACAGGTGCAATGAGGTAAGTGTGTGTGATGATAGGAGAATGCATGTTAGTGTGTTTAATTACACTTATGTACTCAGCTTTGCTGATTGTGTGTGTTGTTGGTGTCTGGCCATGTCTTTATCTTGGCCCTACGATGATCCATTTTAATGGAGAGTAGTGGGGGCAAGTAGAGATACATTTTTCAGGTATTGAAGCATGTTCATGACGGGGCATGAGTGAAGAGAGAATCATGCTAGCTTCTATTAGAATATGATGTGTTTTATGCATTGAATATTTTATTATATTACTTTATGGACTAACACAAAAGATTGGTTGTTCGGTTTTGAATAAGGGCCTTAAATGGTTCCAAGTTGTAGTGGATTTTAATTGGCTTTGGTTTTGTTGATTTTCAACTTTATTTTCGTTGGGTTGGTATTTAAATCGTGTTATTTAAATAGTTTTGGTTTTCAAGTCTTCCGCTGTGTATCTTTGACAGTTGCCTTAGCCGTTTTCACGGTGGCGGTAATGTCTTAGATATTCCTAAAACGTATTTTAAAAGGAGTAAAGTGTACATTTAAAGGAAAGGAATTTCTAGGGTGTTACAAAGTGGTATCAGAGTCAGGTTGAGATTTTAAATTACCACTAACACGAAAACGTTTTTTTTTATTATGATTTAAACTTGGCCAAGTGCTAATTTAATTTTACAATGTCAATTTCATTCCGATTTTATTTTATTTTAAATTATTTCATTAAGAGGGCCGAATTTTTTTTTTTAAATTATTTCTTTTTTTTTTTAATTTAGTCCGAAATCTTTTTTTTAGGGACACTCGAAATTTTTTTTAGTGTCCGAAATTCATTTTTTTCTCAATTTTGTGAAGGCCGAAAGTTGGCCCTTCCTGATAATTTCAAAAAAAAAAAATTTAGCAAAATAAAATATTTTTAGTTTGTTAATTTTGCAGGGAGCAAAGGATTGAGGTAAGAATTATGTGTTAAAAGCTTTTATTAACATGTTGGTGAGCTTGGGTAGGAAAGGAAAGGGCATATAGGCTAGAATTTAATTTCTTCTCTGTGTGCATAGATTTATTTTAGGGTGTTCAAGAGTATAATATGACTAAATGTTTGTGATGAAAGCATGCAATATATGTATTATTTTATGTGATTCTTCAGATTGTATGATTGACCACTGAACTTTGTACCATTTATTTCATTTTATTTTATTTCTTTAGGGAAGGGAAATCTTTTCTAAACCTTTTCTCTACAGGATGCCAATCTTTCCTAGCAAGTTTACCCAAATGGGATCTCTCATAAAGAAAAATAATGAACACCGCTATGACTTTGTAGAAAAGATCAGATACTTTTGTTCCTACATGAGCAATGTCCTACGGGAGAAAGTTTATGACACCCCTGATCGTATTTCGGCAATGATTGTCCATTGTCTTCCAGAGGAGCCCCCTTACTTTGCTGTCAAACAAAGATTTTCTGATTTTTATCTCCCAGGAGACATCCCAAATTACCATAAGTACATAGACTATTATGGCCAGTGGTATCCAGACTATATTTTCTTAACCAAATATCTCGTAAGGGTGGAGAAAGTTTATTGTCAGCGCTTAAACCTTCCCTACCCTGACTACTACTTTGATAATCCAACAGAGAACAATCCTCCTCCAAATCAACAACCAGAAAATTCCGCTTCTTCTTCTTCTTCGTCGGGAGGGGGGGAATCCAGCAGAGAATGGAGACCAACAAGAGGGTAATAGTTCTCTTATGGACATTTCTGATCCAAACCCACCTCCAACTCCAATAATTATAGATATCTCATCGGACGAGGAAGAAGAAGGGGAGTTTATTCCTGTGGAACCTGAACCTGAATCACCTGAACCAATCGAAGAGTCAAATGATTCTAACTTCGATCCTTCAAGCTACAAGCAATCCACCGACAAAAGGGACAACGTTCGAAAGGATTAAATCTTATGACTTTCCTCACAAAGAGTTCATATTCTTTATTTTAAAATTTTTATTTGTTATTTCAGTTTTAGCAAATAAGTGGCATGACCACATCCGTTTTTGGAACACATTTTTTTTATTTTAATATCTTCAGTCTATTTTAATTAATAAACCATAATTATTTTTTGATAAATTTTTATTTATAAATTCTTTTGTTTTACAAATACTCCATTTCACACCGCTATTTGAACACGCAAATAATTAGATTTCCGTTCGTTAATATTAATCTCGTTTTAATCCCGATCAGGTTCTAAACTCCTCCGATTTTGATGAAAAGTAGTGTTTTTCAAGTAGAAATAACGTTTTAAGAAAGACTCACTACCATTGGTAGTGAGCACTACCCTCTCGTGGCCAAATTCAGCCTCTAAATACAATTTTTGAGCAGTTTTTTATTCCAGGCAATTATTGAAATGTTAATCACCATTCCAAGCAACTTATCTCAAAAAACCATTTATAAACCGCAAACGTCCATGGGGATTATTTTTATTTTATTTTATTGTGATGCCTTATTAATTGATGGTTGGTTAGCAATCAATATTAATTGATAGAACTACATTAAGGGAAATTTTAGCAATCGCTATCCCGAACTGTTAGCTTCACATTTTACTTTAGATGTTAAAAAGATTTGTTAATATATATGAGGGTGTTCATCTTGAGAGCTAAACCTAGCCATTTCTAATAGTCATCCTTGTCCTATATTCAGGAGAAACCAAATGGCAGGGGGACGAAGTTCAGGTAGTGGTGGAAATGATTTGAATGATGTAGTGAGACAATTGGCAGCGGTTTCCCAACAATTGGCAAGGAACTCAACTGGTAACGGGGATGCTCAAGGGGAGCTCTTCAAAAAGGTGGCGCAAAGCAAGCCACCAACCTATCAGGGCGAGCCTGATCCTGTGGTGTTCGAAAACTGGTTAAGGGAATTTTAGAAACTGTTTGGAGCTGTGGGGTGCCCTGAAAACTCCAAAGTAGGTTGTGCTACCTACTATCTGAGGGGTGAATCTGACCTTTGGTGGCAACAAAATGAGGCTACCATTAGAGCGTTACTTGGGTTCAACTGGATCAAATTCCAAGAAAAAGTGAGAGACAAGTTATATCCTAGCTTTTTGCAGAAGCAGAAGGCTGAGGAATTTTCAAACCTTAGAATGGATAAGATGACAGTTACGGAATATTACACCAAATTTATTGAGTTGTCCCGTTTTGCTGAAGGATCCGTCTCCACGGAGAAAGCAAAAGCTAGGAAGTTTGAGAGTGGGTTAACTACTGATCTGCAGTTGAAGCTGTGCGGGCAGGTATTTGAGACCCTGGATGAAGTATATGGAAGGGCCACACACCTTTATGCTCTGGAAGGAAAGAAGAAGAAGGAGCTAGCTGAGATAGAAGGGAGAGAGAAGAGGAAGGAAGTGGGACAAGTTTCTGGAAATCAACAGGGAAACCAGAATGGTTTTAAGAAGCAGAAGTACCACCATAACAATAACTTCCCCAATAATAATAATTTCCAGAATAATAACCGCCATTGGGGACGTAGAAACAATGGAGGGGCTAGAAACAATAACCAGGGGAATAATAAGAATGGAAGGTCTTACTTCTGCAAGAGGTGTAGGAATAATCACCCTGGGAAGGATTGTGAAGGCAATTTGGTTGCTTGTCGCGCTTGCAACAAACTGGGGCATAGGGAGTACGAGTGTTACTCCAAAAATGCTAATGGGAATAAACAGAACAACTATAACTCAGGAGGAAACCAGAAGAATTTCCAGGGGAACAACAACAATTTTTCTGGTAATAAGGGAGTGCAACAGAATGGGGCGAGAAACAGTAACACCAACAATGGTAACAGCCAAAAAAAGGGAGGAACTTTAGGGAAACTGAATGTTTTGAGTAGGCACAAGGCAGAGGCCACGAAAGATGTTATCACTGGTACTTTTTCTATTAACTCTATTCTTGTTAAAGTATCGTTTGATTCTGGTGCAACTTTCTCTTTTGTTTCTAAGGGTATTGTTTCAAAACTTAGGGATTGCTTAAAAATAGTAGAGGTAGTAGATTTACCTATAACCATCCCGACAGGTGGGGTAGTGAATTGTACCAAAACTTTTAGAAACGTGCCTTTAGAAATAGAGGGAAAGATATTTCCGTCTAACCTTATCGAGTTTGGGCTGAGCGACTTTGACCTTATCTTGGGGATGGACTGGCTAAGTAAGTATAATGCTGAGATTAGTTGTAGATCACAGAAAGTGAAGATGATCGCAAATGGAAATGAATCAGTGACTTACTGGATGGATGGTAAAACAAAGTGTCCGAGGATAATATCAGTGTTAAAATTAGCAAAGTACATGAAGAAGGGACATCCAATATACTTCTGCAGCGTTAGGGATATGAACCATGAACAGGTGGCAAATCTAGAAAACATAAAAGTGGTCAACGAATTTCTGGATGTGTTTCCGGAAGAGATCCCTGGGATGCCACCTAAAAGGGTGATCGATTTTACCATAGATTTGGTACCCGGAACAGCCCCATATCCAAGGCACCATATAGAATGGCACCTGCAGAAATGAGTGAACTAAAAGATCAGTTACAAGATTTGTTGGACAGAGGGTACATTAGACCAAGTGCCTCCCCTTGGGGAGCACCAGTTCTATTTGTGAAGAAAAAGGATGGAAGCATGAGACTGTGCATTGATTACAGGGAATTAAATAAGGTGACCATAAAGAATAAGTATCCCTTACCGAGGATAGATGATCTGTTTGACCAACTAAAGGGTGCCATAGTGTTTTCGAAAATTGACTTGAGGTCTGGATATCACCAATTGAGAATTGCCGATGAGGACATTCCTAAGACAGCATTTAGGACAAGATATGGACACTACGAATTTACAGTTATGCCTTTCGGATTGACGAATGCTCCAGCAATCTTTATGGATTTGATGAATAGAGTGTTTCATCAATTTATGGATAAGTTTGTAGTGGTGTTCATAGATGATCTTTTGGTATATTCAAAGGACAAAGAAGAGCATGCAGAACATCTAAGGACAATTCTGCAAACATTGAGAGAAAACCATCTTTATGCAAAATTTTCTAAGTGTGAGTTTTGGTTGGAGAAGGTAGCATTCTTAGGACACTTTGTGTCTAAGGACAGGGTAGAGGTAGACCCAGCCAAAATAGAAGCTGTTAAGAGCTGGCCGACACCCAAAACAGTATCTGATGTGAGAAGTTTCTTAGGTTTAGCAGGGTATTATAGGCGTTTTGTTAAGGATTTTTCCAAGATTGCTAAACCTATGACTACTCTAATGAAGAAGGACAAGAAGTTTGAATGGGATGAAAAGTTTAAAGAGGCGTTCCAACTCTTAAAACACAAATTAGTTACAGCACCATTGCTTACACTTCCAGATGATAGTGGACTGTATGATGTATATAGTGATGCATCAAAGAATGCCTTGGGGTGTGTACTTATGAAAAATGGAAAGGTGATTGCATACGCATCAAGGCAGCTAAAAACACACGAGGTAAACTATCCAACTCATGACTTGGAATTAGCCGCCATCATTTTTGCACTGAAAATTTGGCGCCATTATTTGTATGGAGTGAAATGTAGAATTTACACAGACCACAAGAGCTTAAAGTACATTTTCACCCAAAAGGATTTAAACTCTCGTCAAAGGAGGTGGCTAGAGTATACGACGGATTACGATCTAGACATACAATACCACGAAGGGAAGGCAAAATGTGGATGCGGATGCTCTAAGTCGTAAAACAAGTCATGGATTAAACTCGTTAGTAGTAGCTAATTAGTTATGCAGAGAAATGGAGAAATTGAATTTAGAAGTCGTGGAATGGGGAGTACCAGCAGGTATTCTTGCGAACTTGAGTATCCAACCAACAATATTCGACGTGATTCGACAGAACCAAGAAGGGGATGTAAAGTTGGATAGGATTCGTGAGAAAATTAAGCAAGGAAAAGCTATAGACTTCAAAATTCACAAAGATGGGAGCTTGAGGTACAAAGGTCAATGGTGTGTACCACAGAAATGTGAGGAAGTGAAGAAAAAGTTGATGGAAGAAGGACACAACACACCTTACTCAGTACACCCGGGAGGAGACAAGTTATATAAGGATTTGAAGAAGATGTTTTGGTGGCCTAGAATGAAAAAGGAGGTTGCTGAATTTGTAGCAAAGTGTTTAACATGTCAGAAGGTGAAAATAAAGCACAAGAGGCCTCAAGGGACTGTACAATCATTAGAAATCCCAGGATGGAAGTGGGATTGCATTTCAATGGATTCCGTGACTGGCTTACCTAAGTCAAGGTGTGGAAATGACACCATTTGGGTAGTGGTGGACAGACTTACGAAATCGGCAGTGTTTATTCCAATGAAAGAAACTTGGAAGATGGAGCAACTTGCTAAGGCTTACATCAAGCATGTAGTAAGGTTACATGGAGTCCCAAAAGATATTGTTTCTGACAGGGATTCCAGATTTCTCTCAAAATTCTGGAAGAGTGTTCAGGAAAATTTTGGTACCATACTTAAGATGAGTACAGCATTTCACCCTGCCACAGATGGGCAAACCGAAAGAACCATCCAAACCTTGGAGGAGATGTTGAGATCTTGTGTAATAGACTTCCAGGGAAGTTGGGAAGACAGTTTGGATTTAATTGAGTTTTCCTATAATAATAGTTACCATGCAAGCATAGGAATGGCACCATTCGAGGCTTTATATGGGAGAAAATGTAGAAGTCCGATTTATTGGAACGACATTAGTGAAACTATGATTCTTGGGCCTCAATTGATTGAGGACACAGTCAATCAAGTAAGGAAATCCAATCTAAAATCCAAGCAGCTCAAGATCGCCAAAAGAGTTATGCAGACTTAAAGCGAAGAGAAGAAGAATTTGAAATTGGCGATAAGGTGTTACTAAAAGTTTCACCGATGAAAGGAGTGATGAGATTTGGGAAGAAAAGAAAGCTCAGTCCAAAATACATCGGTCCATATGAAATACTACAAAGAGTAGGCAAAGTAGCTTATAGGTTAGCCTTACCTATGGAGCTTAGTAGAGTACATGACGTATTTCATGTGTCCCAATTGAGAAGGTACATCCCCGATAAATCTCATGTGCTACGACCCGAAACCATCGAGTTAGAGCAAAGTTTAACCTATGAAGAAAGACCTATCAAGATTCTTGACAGTAAAGTGCGTAGTACACGCAACAAGAGCGTTAAGATTGTAAAAGTACTTTGGTCTAACCAAGAATATGAGGAAGCCACTTGGGAGGCAGAGGATGAAATGAAAAAGAAATACCCAGAGTTGTTTTAGGTATGTAGAGTTACGGGGGCGTAACTCGTTTTCTTTAAGGGGGGTAGAATGCGGTAGAATTTCGCGCTTTTTCCCTATATTTCAGTTATTTTTGTGCTCTTTGCACGAATTTAAACAAGTATTTCGAGTATTTATGCTCTCAAAGAGACATAAAACAATAAAGGAGTGACAAAAGTACACAATACTATACATATTAAGGAAAAAGGTTTGAATTTCGTTCCCCAAGTTTCGGGACGAAACTTTTTTTTTAAGGGGGGTAGACTGTAATACCCCGTATTTTTATACGCATTTTCTTTAAAGTATGCATTTTATAAAGTATTTAAATAGTTGTAATTATTTTAATTAAAGTATTTTAATTAATATTATTATTAAAGGAAAGTTTATTTAATTATTTTATTTAAAAGTTGGGGTTTTATTTTAGGAAAGTTTAATTTTCAACAAGTTTTATTAAGGAAGGAATTAGGAAAACCTAGAAGAGGGTTAGTAGAGAAGGGGTATAAATATCCCACTTATGAGGCAAATCAAACTTTGCCCAGAGTGGAGAAAACCCAAGGTAATCTTCTCTCTCTCTCTTCCTTATTTTTTTTCCTTTTTCTTTTCCCCCCTTCCCCTTAAACTTTCGGCTGCCCTCCCTCACCACCGCTGCCAGCAGGCGCAAGCCGCCGGCAGCAGGCAGCCGCCGCCAGCAGCCGGCAGCCGGTGGTGGCTGCCGCCCTTCTTCCCCTTTCCCCTTTTTTTCGAACCTTATATAAAAAAAAAAAAAAAAATTGAAGCTTTCTTGTTTTAATTGAATCTATTCTTGGATCTAAATATAAATTATGAGTTTAGGGGTTTAATTTTGATGTTTGATAATTGTAATTGTATGAATTAATTTTCAGATTTGGTTTTTAATTAAAAAGCCCCAATTTTTGAAACCCTAGTTCCTTGATTTATGAAAATTATGAAAGCATATGAGGAATTAATGTTTAGATCTTCAATTTAATGTTTTAAGACTAAATTACAGCAAGTTTTAATTAGAAATAAAGTGCTGGAATTTTATGTAGAGCAATTAATATTATGTTTTTGAAGGAAATTTAAATTACCCATTAAGTTGGACTTAATTAGAGTGTTTTAAATATAATTTCAGCTTATTCAAATTATTTTAAGAGGGGTTTTAGGATAGTATATATTGCTGGAAATTTTTTTAGAGTGGGTTTTAATGCTCTGTTATAATTTTAATGTGTAGGAGACTTCGAAGTGAGCAATTTTTACTAGTCATGACGATTTTAAGATCGTATTCAAGGTACGTTCGCGTACTTAGCATATTTTGATGATGTAGAATCATGCTAGGTTTAATTTCAATCAATTACAAGTAGTATCATGCTAAGGTTTATGTATTGAATCGTGAATTATTGGTGTTGGTGATTGAATTGTGAAGCATGAATTACTTGTGATGGTTTATGGATTGGAAAATTATACTTTGGCATGATTATATAGACTACATATTTATTTATGGCATGATAGAGAGCATGTTTAATTAAACTAATTGTTTAATTATGTTTGGAATATTGAAAGGAAATTTTATTATGGTTCATATAATTTTTATTGACGCTTTAAGCATGAGAAAGGAGCTATATAAGTGTCTATGTACACAAGGAATAAATTGTATGTTGGTGCCTTTGTGCACTTAAGGTGTTTTAACACCGAGGTATAGGATTGTTGGCGCTTTATGCGTTTAAGGTGTCTTCGACACTGAGGTAGAATTAAAAAGGGTTCAACATTAAATATTATGTGGTCACTAATTATTCAAGAATTAAATTGGTATATTTGTTTGATTGAATAATTATTGTTGATTGACTTATTATGCCTTGAGAGTCATCACCAAGTCTAATAATATGTAAATAACGTAAAGTGAAAGAGATTACACACCAAAACTCTTGGAACGTATATACCTTGAGTATGAACATATGGGGGGAGTTATGTGACTTTACATTTGATCATAACTTCTAACGGAGTAGAGGACGTTGTATATTCCTTTTTTTTATGCGCTTGAATTCCGCCACCTATGTGTGGCACAGGTTTGTTGCTAGCACGGTTAGCTCCCGTGTCAGTTAACCCCAATTTATTGGGATATGATTAGTTGGAAACCCATTCTATGCGTAATCAACGCTAAATGAATTATTTAG